TTTGTAATATGGAACTATGAACGCTTGACAATTTAAAAATTTAATCAGCTTAAGTGAGTTATTAAATACAGACTTGATGTCATCTTGATATGTTTTGTTTATGCTTCTGTGAACAGTTTCCTCTATGATATCATTAAATATGTAGCTGCAATTCAATCTCTTAATCATTTTCATTATAATCAGAGTCTGAATCATCATTTTCTTCCTAAATAATGTTAAAAAGTAGTTATTTGGAATCGTTTGCATTATCATATTCAGTGGCATCTTCTTTACTTGATAAGTCATTCGAACATTTTGACGGTTGGTCGTCACTGGTACGTATATTTTTGTAGAAAAAATTGTTTACGGCCAGATGAATACCGTGATTATGGCACAACTGACTCTCTACAGAACTTATCCGCCATTTTTTTGCATTACTTCAGCACCATCGTGAGTAGACGCAATTATATAAGTAAAATCTAACCAAGATTCTGTCAAATTTTGTTTCATTAGTTCATTGGTTGTAAAAGCATCACAGAAACCATCAACTTTAACAAGGTCCAGTATATAAGCAACGTTATTGTGAAGAGTTACATTCATATACCTTTTAATGAATATGTCAGTCCATTCATCAACTGTTATGCTGAACTTTTCACCACATTTTTTCAAAACAGAAATTTCATCACACAACTCTTGTTTTATTTAACTCGCAAAACGACACTATTATTTTTGCGACAGTGGTTTGACTTTTTATCATTTTGAATCCACGTTTTCTAATAAACCCAGGTATTGCATTTGATTTTGTAATTGTTCTTAAAGATATACTCTCCTTATCGGTACATTTTGCTTGCAATTCAGCCAAGATTTCACGTTTAAAGAATCCGTCTACTTTTATTTGTTTTTTCGGAACTTCTGCAGCAGATGTTTCATCTTACTTCTTATTTTTTAATATCATTTAAGTTTGTTTGGTTTAATCATGGTCAATAAAAACTTACAAATTGTTGACAAAGAGCGGCACGCCAAGCCTCTCTTTTATGATAATACAGTTTTTAAATTTCAGCCAAAGTGAAGATGCCGGAGCAGAGAAAGTTCGTATTTGAAATTGTTCAAGTTCTTTGCGTCCAACGCATATTGGGTTAAAAAATTTCATAATGTTTCAACACGGTTGGTGATGAAGTTGTTTCTTTTGGCGCAGTTTCGGACAAGTTGTGCTTTTAGTTGTTTAGTGTGTCCACGCGGCCGAAAACTTTACTTTGAAGATTCCGTGTTAGGTTGAAGTTGAGGGACCTGAAAGATAACTTTATCGATTTCGCTCATGATTTTATATTGCTAATAAAGTCTCCTCTTTCTTGTTGTTCAGTTAGTGTTGTCAGGTTAAGGCTTGAATTTCTTTGAGTATACAGAAGGTGTTTTAGGTAGCAATAGGTTTTGCGGCTCAATGTTAAACTTGATCGAGTTTGGCTATGTTTTGAGCTAAAAATGGTGACTATGCATGTACTGCAAATTCTAGATGTGGGTGAACGTTCGCAATATACACTATGCACCATAATGCAGAACTTCGATCTCGAAAAGCCTTCTTGAATCTGCCAAGCATTCGGTTGCTAGCTGAAGCAGCCGAGAAGACTTGTATTTTAACTTTTAGATCGCTAGTCATTAAAATGCCTAGGTCTCGTTCAGATGACGTTCATGATAGCTGGTGCAGTTGGCCGTCTCAGTTATTTATTTTATAAATTGCAGTCGATTTTTTTTATTGCTGCACCTAGTGTGCATGACTTTGCACTTCTCAATATTAAATGAGATGAGCCATGTATTCGACCACTTCACTGCTTCGTTGATGTCGGTTAGATTTTTATGATGTCATGGTTTGATTCTATAATTCCTATTATTTTACAGTCATCTGCATATATTTTAAAGTGGTGTTGTATTTTGTCTGGCAAATCGTGAATGTAGTTAAGGGATAGGGTGGTCCAAGAACAGATCTTTGTGGCACACCGCTTATAACTGTTTTCCAATCGGAATATTGGTGTAAACTCTAGCGGCTCAACTTCAAAAATTGATTGGAAATATTCGTTTAGTGTGTTGCAGATTACTTTAGGATCTCTTGTAGTTTGATTATTATTTGTTACAGTTACAAGTTGACGGATGCGGTTGTGTGTTTCTTGTTTGCTTTTGATGTACGAGTGGATGATTTTTGGGTCATGCCTGCTATTATTTATCAGTTCCATTTTTTAAGCAAGAACAGCTGATTTAACTAGTATTTATTACTGCTTTGCTTATTTTTTTATGCTGTTCGCGTAAAGTTGGCTTGTTTGTTCGGCTGGCTGCGTTGAATTTGCACCAGAGTTCGCTTTTGTAGTCACCAGATCACTTTTTTGCACCAGATCAGATGTTTCTTGTAGAGCTTAGAGGACTCATTTATTTCCTTTTTCTTTAGTTTTAAGGTCGGTAAGAGTTATACTTCCCTCAATAAGACCTTTGGCTGTGTGACCGAGAGGACTATCTTCTTTTATGTTGATTAATCGGTCTGGTTCGTTGGTCAGAATTAAGTCAAGAGTATTTTTTGGAAGTTACTCACGAGTACTGCAATATGTTGGAAAAGTTATTAGCTGGGTCAAATGATTTTCTTCATGACAGTCTTAAAATGCTTACCAATGCTTGAAATTATAATACGAATAGTTCTCATGTGGGTAATCAGATGTAACCAGGTAGGTAATCAGACCAGATGTGCTTGAGCCTTTGCATTTCATGAAATAATCTATGCCTTGGTATTAATATCTGAACCGTATGATTTTGTGAAATATTTCCAGACAGAAGAGCTCTGTTTTGGTATGTTTTTTTGTTTTGTTTTTTGTAATTAAATTTCTTAGCTATAGCTTTTTAATCTATTTCCGTAGTGTTCAATTTATAAATTAAAGAAGTGGAATATGATTCAATCGCTTTTGTGTCGAGATCGACCGACTATATGATTTCATCAATCTTAGATGAGAGAAAAACCTATCGGCTGTGCAGGTTTTTAATGGTATCAACAAATAATGCTTGACATTCTCGTCAAGTATATCGTATTATAATTTTTTAAACTTAACCAATCTATTTGGTACTAAACAAATCAAATTATACAACAGCTGGCACAATTCCTCGTTCATATAACTGACTTGTTTACAAGCATCTTAAAGAACAAGGTTGAGCCTATGTGCGTAACAACGTATAAAAATTGCTTCATTGACATCATCTTGAAATAGTTTAGCAACACTACTTAGATGCCCTGACCTAAAGCGGCACCATAGTAACTTTTCCTCCGCACTATTTTCCTGTCTAGTCCACATCTTAATAAAACATCACATATTGCATAAAAAAGCGATTTACTGTCGGTAGCATCAACTGCATAGAGACCAAGAAAATCTTAGTATATTTTAATTTTTTCAAAAACTGATCGAACACATATAGACATTTGCTCAATACCAAAAATGTCACCAGTTTCATCGCATATTACAGAAAAAAACATTTTTGATTTATAAGCATTTCTTAGCTTATGATATTGTTAACAAAACAATAGAACTAATTTTCCATTAGTTCTAATATCTCGTTAATAAAATCATAAGACATGTACTTACTGTTTGACAGACAGCTCGATAGAGGTGGATAATCTTTACTCCGTATTAAATGTAGGATAACCCGGGGGAAAGCGAGACCCTTTCATGGAGAATGTTTACAACTTAAAGAGTATAAAAACAAGATTATTCAAAACAAGAAGTTTTGCAGGCCACTGGCACATTATGTATTTAAAAATCTTTTTAAGTATTTGTGGTGATAAGTTGTTGAATTGGATTTTGAGCAGCCGTGGCGTAGTGGTAATGAGCAGCAGTGGCGCAGTGGTAACGCATTTGCCTAAGAAACGTAAGATCCGTGGTTCAAACCCCTCCTCTAGGCAAGTTTTGCGACATCGGTTGGGAAGGAAGCGTGAACTACCTATAAAGTGCTCTTCCGCGGTGCTCTGTGATAAGACCGTAAGGTTTTCTTGGGACACCTTAATCAACTTATTAAAAAAAAAATTGGTACATAATTAAACTCAAAACGGCAACAACTACCCTGTCTCACTTTCTCCAAAACCTGGGGCAAAGTGAAACAGATTTAATTTAAAGATAAAACTAAGTAAAAATATAATTTTCAATAAAAATTAAAGCAGACTTTGATAAATTCGATCTGATTAAATATAAGAAGGCAAATAAAAACACTAATTATCATTTTATAATGTAATTTTTCCTTTTAAGTCAAAAAACATGATAGGAAAAAACATCAATCAAAAATATAAAATAACAAAAACTAAAAATCAAACATAATATCAACAAAAAAAAAGCATATGCAAAGTTTTATGTTAGTGTACAAATTTGAATAAAATTTAATCACATAAAAATCAAACATCATTTAATGTGCAGTCTACGTGTACCCAAACAGTACATACACAACAAGCTATCCAGTCGATTTGGGTATTATTGAATCATTTCCCTTGACAAACTGGACAAAACCATTCCTTTTTATTTTTTACATCTTTTTCAATGAAGCATTTTGTTAATTTTTTTTTTTTTTTTTTTGTTCTTTATTAACAGTGGTCTCTGAAAAGCTTTTTATTGACTTTAAATTATCATGACTCATTAATTCAAATGCAGTCGACTCTGGCTGCTGTAAAATTTTACTTTCTTTTTCGGTATTGTATTCAAAGTGAATTTCATGAGGTATGGATAACCTGATTTTATTATTATCACTCAAAGATGTCCTTGGATATTCGTTTTCTTACAAATGCAGATTAAATGAGACAATTCCAATTGCTCTAAAACTTAAATTAGCATTTTCCAGTTTATGCTTTCATTTGGTAATAAAAAAATAATTTTGCGCCTAACCACTTATCTAATGTAAAGAGTTTAAAACATAATGGTAAAGTATAGTGTCTAACTGAAAAGTAAAAAACTGGTAATATATGAGAGTTTATATCAATTAAGTATAAAAAAAATAAATAAAAAAGAAACTTTTATTTTTAAACTGATATTTTACTAACGATACAATAATTAACTTTACAGTTTTTTTACTCATGCATAATAAACATCGTGTCTTCTACAACGATATTGCACTTCGAGGTACTTGTAAGTTCCTACGCATGGATCACCAAAAACTCCATTGGAAGCATGAACAACGCACGAAGTTTTTGTTGCACAACTTTTGTTAACAATTTCAACTGATATTTTCTGGTTGTTACAATTTTTATTTGTGTCTTGTGCACCAGGACAAACACCAGACAATGTTCTACCGTAATTTGCACTGACTATTTCAATTGTTCCGTGGCCGTTGCAATCAATTTTGAGATCGCTGTTTTCACACGCCCGAGCCATATGAACTTGTGGTTTACCTTATATATAAGTTATTTTGTTTGTAATGATCTTGTATAATAATATTCGAGTGTATTTGTGTGTATTTTATTTTATTTTTAATTTTAAAAAAATCAAAAACTTACAATGGTAGTGCACTTCGAGGTATTTGTATGTTCCGACGCATGGATCACCAAACACTCCATTGGATGCTTGAATGACACATGAAGATTTGTCTGAACATTTTTCAAGAACAACTTCTAGTGACTTTTTTTGGTTGTGACATTTTGTGTTTATGTCATAGGCACCAGGGCAAACACCAGGCAATGTTCTACCGTAGTTTGCACGAACCACTTCAATTGTGTCCTGTCCGTTGCAAACAATTTTTAGCTCGCTACCTTCACATGCTCGAGCAATACGAAGTTGTGATTGACCTAAGCATTATTTATACTTAACAACAAATAACAAAAATAATTAAGAAAATAAAACACTGCAATACAACATAAAGGAAGAACTTAAGTAAAATCAATTTTTCAGTGTGAAGGCATTTGCCACATCATTAGTCATGCTAATTTGCAAATTGTGTTTTTCCCTTGGTAATATTTCAATTAGAAAAGTGTTTTTACTATTTTATTATCATTATGTTTTTTTTAATCTGATCTTATTATGTAAGATACTTCTTTTCTTCAACAATTAAACAAATTATTTGTTGTAACAAAAAACAGCTTCGACGAAAATTTATTTATAAACTTTTAAGCTTCTATCTTTTCATTTCTCTGTAGTAATAAATGAGAATAATCGTTTAAAAGATTAGTTTTTACATAAAATTAAGCAATGGTTTAGCTAACATTCCTTGTTAATGACAAGCTGTAGTAATAAACTGAGGGCATTTTAAACTTAAGTTACAAAAAAAAATGCGAGTAAATTTTTATAAAAATGATTTTATATTTTAAATACTCTTAGTGTTTAAACAAATAATAAAAATTAGTTAAAAAATTTCTGGGTTTTGCGTATAAATAATATTATTAAAATTTATATAAACTTAAACTTAAAGCGCAAATTTCATAAGTACGAATTGGCATAAGTGCAAAGCGTTGCAAAAACTGGCATATATGCGAACTTGCGTAAGTGATCTTAAAAAATTTGCAAACATTGACATAACTGCAAACTGGCATTAGTGTAAAGCAGTTGCAAAATCAGGCACAAGAGAAAACTGAATAGTATAAGTGCACCGAATATATTTGCAAACATTTGAATTGGTATAATTGCGAACTGGCATAAGTGCGAACATGCATAAGTGCGAACTGGCACAAGTGCGACCTGGCACAAGTGCGAACTGGCATAAGGGCAAACTGGCATAAGTGCAAACTGGCATAAGTGCAAACTGGCAAAAGTGCGATGCAGCTGCAAAAAATGACATAAGTGCGAACTGGCATCAAGGTACGAGATTATGTCGCTGCAATTCAAATATAGAAAAACAGTTTTAATTTGGTAGCGGGACTATGTCGCTACTATTTAAATACAGCAAAATAATTTTAACTATTTTTTCATATACAACCAATAACTATACTATAGACATCATTTTGCTCTTAACACTAAACAGTTTTGAAGCGCTCATTTTTTGAAATTTACTTTATTTTTAATTTTGTTTTAGGAGCCCAAAACATTACGGTCATATTACAGAACACCGTAAAAATGCATTTTAATTAGGAAAATCACACCTCTAACCTTATTTATTATATAAAATAAATTGATTAAAGCTAATTACGCGGCGATTTTAAAAACAAAAGTTTTCAAAGAAATTAAAAAATTTTATAAAGACAAAATATCGCGTCAAGTCTTTCTTTTCAATGGTTTTGCTGAATTAAAAGAAACTAGAAATTTAATAAATTTTTAAAGTATAAGTAACTTAATAATCATAACAAATAATCAAAATTTAATAGATAAGTATATCATTTGCGACTACAAGTAGTGTGCCCTATATATATATATATATATATATATATATATATATATATATATATATATATATATATATATATATATATATATATATATATATATATATATGTATTCATATATATATATATATATATATATATATATATATATATATATATATATATATATATATATATATATATATATATATATATATATATATATATATATATATATATATATATATATATATATATATATATAAGTTTATATTTATAATTATAATTTTATATATATTTCCGAGAAAAGACATGGTAGCAACATAGAACAAGTTGACTTAGCGTTTAAATGATGTTAATGGTTATACAATGACTGAGAGAAAGTTTCTACCCCATGTCATTTGAAAAAAAATAACTTTACTACTAAAAAACGTATACTTACCGGCAGCTCCAAAAATTAAAGCAAAAATAATTGCAAGTGTTACTCCTTTTGCCATCTTCAAAGTTAGCAATGTAGATTGTGTAGAACTGACTTTTTAGTTGTAATTATATACTAAAATGGTTACTATGGTTGCTTTTTGTTTGTCAATTTTAGTTACAATATACAATTCTATTATTTATATAATATTTCCTATCAATATCTTTTTTTATCTAATTAACGGAATGATAATAATAATAAAAACTAGGTTTCTTTATTGCATAATAATATAATAACGTGACTTAATGAAATATTGTATATAATTGTATTGCATGAAATTTGACAGAAAATAATTTTGCTATACTTAACCATTCAATTTCTGTTCCAATACGGAAATAGAATTGAATTTGTCTGTTCGATAAAGAAAATATTTAAATATGCAATTATGTATTGGTAAGAAACGAGTCGAACATAATCGAATAAAACTTGCTTAACTAAAACAAATAAAAACGTTAACTACAAGTTTAAAATGTTATTCTATAAACAACTTTATTTGTTTATACTTTACAATATTCTATTTTACTGCTTTTCAAAAAGTTATTTTTTATCTTCTTTCAAAAAGTTATTTGTTAAGTTGAAGAATTTCCTACAAACTTAATGTGAGCAAAACTTTATAAGCTAAGACTTTTTATATGACCTGGGTTAAAATCAGTGCGCTAATATGAGCTAAAATTCGCCACCATCTCTACCCCCTCACCCTCATTACAAATTTAGGTTGGAAATTTTAATATTGATACTATATTATTCAGTAATTTTAAATGAACTAATACTTGTATATTTAAATTACATGATTTTGCAGCTTGAGTTCCTTCCTGGTATGACGTTGTATACCGATAATATGGAGAAGGAAGTTAACACATTGGAAAAGTTTCAAAGAAGAGTAAAAGTATTGCTCGGTGAGCTTAAAATCTTGTCATAAAACAACAAGAACAGCAACTTATAAATATTATTGCTCAAAAGAAGACATTCACTAAGAGGCCTTAAGAAAAAGTTTAAAACAGAATCAGATTTATAAAAATTTTTTCTGAAGGTTTCACGAGTACTTAATCCACCAAGAAGAATCTTACAAAATTTATTTATATTTAAATTTTTATAAATTTTTATAAGCTGTATATGAAAGCACAAAAGAGATATAACGAGATGCTGCAATTAAAGGCGCAACATTTTCAACAAAAACGTAACCCAGCCCTGTAAAGCATTGCAGCAGTGCATTGCAACTTCTTTCGTTCTAGGTTTTAAATAATATAACAATTTTTTTGGTTTTTTAAAATGCTGGGTTACCAAGCATCAAAGCTTGTTTTGAGAATATAGCAGCCTTTAGATGAGTGTCCATTTTGTTTTTGTTGTTTACTGATGATTTGATGTCTTGATGATAAACTTAAAATTTTCAAATATTTTAAAACGTGGTTATAAATACCATTATTTAATATTATATAACAACTAATTTTATTTCATTACAAAGGGAGATGATAAAATAGTTCATTTGTAGTGAACTACAATTTCATCACTTTGAGTAAATGAAAATTTTTACTTCAATTCTTTATATTGCGCATAAAAAACTAAGTTTGTCTTTTAATTTATTTTAATTATTTACATTAAAAAATCACTTAAAAAGTAATTTTTTAATGTAAATAAAAAATTTTTTTTTATTAATGTAAATAAAAAAATGTCATTTATTTGCAATAAAAAACATATTAATATCAAGATTTAATCTTAAACCAACAATTGCAGCTATAAAAGAAATACATTAAACATTAATAAAGGAATGGATAAGACAAGGAAGAAATGAAATCCTGAAAATCACAAAAATGAAGTGATATATGAAATTAGCACAATTGTTGTTAAATCAATCTTTTATATTGTAAAAACACCAATGTTATACTTTTTTAATATTATAATATTATACTGTGGATAATATTTAAGAAAGGGCAATATTTGTTAGGAAATATTGAAAATAAGGATACTTAGTTTGAGCGTTTTTATCTTATGCAACTTAAAAGTTCCGACGCTTTTTATTGTATTACTTTTATGCAACAATAGGGTTTTTAAATACTTGAAAAAAAAATATTTTTTTTTATACAGTAATAAATTTTTTACAAAAGGAAAGTTTCTTTTTGTTGCAATTTCTGATTTATTTTTACTTTATTGACTATCGACTGGTCGGGTTAGCTTTTAACCTATAGTGAACAATAGACCGGTTTTCTATAAAATATTAACTCACAAGTATTCTTTGTTGCTGCGATATTACCAGATTTTGAAGGAAATCCTTTATAAAATTGCAAGGTAACATATATGGTGTAACCTTAAATATATAAGTTAGCTTTGATTAGATCACATATGTTATATGTGAAGTAACCAAAGTAAAATAAATCATCGGATATGTTAAAAAGAATAAGCCACTTCTAATGCAACTATTTTTGTTTTCATAATTGTTATAATTAGTTTTTTTGTATTAACGAAATATTTCAAATTATTAACACTTTATATTGCAACCAGAAAACATCACAAAAATTAGGGGTTTAGAGAAGACCGGAGTTAATTGCAACAGGGAGGGGGTTGCAACAGTGTCTTAAAAGGGATGGTTTTTATTTATTATTCCCTAAAAAGTTTACATTATGTAACTCTAATAATAAAAAGTCAGCTAAAAAAAATATTCTATTAAATATATATATATTAAAAAAAAATATTTTTTATAACAAAATTTTTATTTGAGTTTTTAAAATCGTATTGTAAACTAAGAGGTATATGATAATATATATAAATAATCAATTGATAATTCTTATACCATCAAAAAAAATAACAATCGTAAAATAAACGTTTTATTAGGCGGAAGTTTTTTTTTTTATCTCAACAACAACATCAACGACAACAACAATAACAACAACAGCAACAACGACGACAACAACAACAACAACAGCAACAACAACAACAACAACAACAATAACAACAACAAAAATTTCGATAATGGACCTAAAGCATGGTTTCCGATTGTTATTCACGCAATTTTGTTGAGCAACAATTGTTGCAGAAATTGGTTTGTATCTACTTCCGCAGGATTTGTTTTACAACAAAATTCATACAAGTATAGGAAACCAAGCTTTAGTTTTTTTATAGCAAGATTTAGCGTCACTCATCAACCAAACGGAGAACCGCCTTAAATACATTAAAATAACATAAAAATGATTGACAAAACATTTAAAGCATTTTTCTTTTGTTTGTTTAGAGTGTGATTAGAAAATTGCTAAATGACAAAGGTCGACAAGACCACCCTTTTAGAATTATTTTAAACCCAGATCGTTTCACACAATCAAAAAAAGCTATTCAAAAATTTTTTTATTTAAACATTTATCAAATTCTTATTTTAATGTGCAAAATTAAAAAATGATATTTAAAACACTTTTCACTAAAATTCATCCCATGTACACGATTTTAAAATCACAACTAAATTTTTTCCTAAAGCGTATCATTATATATGTTGGCAGCTACGAAAAAGTAAAGATGAAAGTTAAAAAAAAAAAAAAGTTGACAGAAGAATGACGAAAAAGATGACTTAAAAAACTCAATAAAACTTTTGTTGATGTTGTTTAATAAGAGATTGTTTGTAAACAATGTCTCCTTGAAGTTGAGCTTTTTAAACGTATAAAAAGATCTTTGTTGCTGTGATTTTTATTGAGTTCTAGTTTTGTAAAAACACTGAGCAAAAAAGCCAATAAGTTTCAACTTATATTTTTTATTTTAACGAGTTTATGGAAAGCACAAAATGAGTAAAGAATCAATAAAGATGAAAATTCCACAGCATTGATGTTTGAGAAAAGAAACTAGTTGAACAAAAACTTTTTAAGCTTTAAAACAGTTAAATGCTAAATAGGGTGTCCAAAATTTTTTTTGCTTGCAAGTCACTAAGTCTTTGATATTAGACTTGCATACGAGGAAAGCACAGTAAATATCGTCTTACTGGAATAGCCGCAGTAAATTTAATTAGTGGTAAAAATTTTTATTTTTGTATTAGGAATATCAAAATCACCTTTTTGCTTCAAAGGATTTAAGCACTTACCTTTCAGATACAGAAATCAAAATAAAAGCTGGATGAATAGCTTACTATTTGAAGAGTGGATACAAAAAATGGATACACAGTTTACAAAAGAAAAGATGAAAGCATCATTTACATTGCTCAGAACACCAAAAAATTGATAATGAAAGTTAATTGATCCCATTTTTTGCCATCAAATACCATGTCTAGACTCTTTGAAAGTTTATTACAGATCTTTGGCATTGCATCAAATAAAGAAAAAATCTTCCTAATTTTTTTGATTTTGGACGTAACGAAAATGCTTGATCTTGCATGGCAAAAAATGAAAACTTCCATTATCGTTAACTATTTTGTAAAAGCAGGAATTTCGGAGGAACAGAAATCTGCCCGTTTAGATAAAGACAACCCCTTTAAAGAGCATTAAAATTACATAGAAAAACTTGATGATTTTTACCCTCCAGCTACAACAGCCGAAGATTTCATTTCTTCAAATGAAAACTTTATAAGAATATTACCTTAACTAACAGATGAAGAGTTGATAAATGAAGTAAAAAAATGCAGCAAATGAACAAAATGCTAATGAAGAGGCAGATGGTTTTTTAAAAACTTATATTCGCGAGGCAATGGAAGTGTTGTATAACTGTATGCTCCTCTATCGTAATGGTGAGATTACTTACAAGTACATGACCTTTTTCCATTAATTATTTTATTGAAGAAACGATTATTCTGATGAGTTTCTTGATTACAATTTTTAAAAACAGTTGTTGAAAATATAAAAATGCTAGTTCAAAAATAAAGTTAATTTTGATATGCATTCTTTTATTTCATTCTTTCTCTAACAATGATATCGCGGACTTTTAAAAACACATGTCATGTCATTAAAAGTTCATTCATCCATTTAAAAATCTCATCAAATTAAATCTAAACTAAAAAACGGCATCAAAAAATTCTTTTTGTACGTATGTTGACTATTCTAGCTCCTTGAGATTTGCTTTGAAAAACATGTTATTATTTATAGATTCCCTTGTAAAAATTCTTAAATGCATGAAAAATATCATATTTAGAAACAAAGATTTATAAAATATA